TGGCTGGAGCTGCTGGCAGCTCTTTGTGCTGGTGATCACCCGCCAGCCCTGCACCCTACGAGAGTCGATGGAGGGCTGTGAGATACGTGGTGGGAAACGGGGGCCACTGCCTGCTCATCCTCGCTCTGCTGCCTGCCTGGGGCAGGGCCGTAAAGCGAAGGCACTGATACATGGTTTATGTTCAAAGGAGTGTGGATATCCAGCAAATTGGGGTAAACTCTAGTGGGGCCCCCATTCAAAAGGCTTGTGTGACACCAGGGATCATAGAATCGTTAAGATTGGAAAAGAACTCAAAGATCATCAGGTCCAACCGTCAACCCATCACCACCATGACTGCTAAACCGTGTCCCAAGGTGCCGTATCTACACGTTTTTGAACACCTCCAGGAGATGGTGATTCCACGACTTCCCTGGGCAGCCTCTTCCAATGCTTCAGAACTCTTTCAGTAAAGACATTTTTCCTAACATCCAATCTAAACCTCCCCGATGCAACTTGAGGCCATTTCTTCTCATCTTATCCCTAGTTACTTGGGAGAAAAGACCAACACCCGCCTCACTACAACCTCCTTTCAGGTACTCGTAGAGAGTTAGTTATAGAAAGCTTAGATTACCCAGCTTTAAGCACAGGAGAGTAGCTGAAGCGCTGTAACCTTTGGGTGGGAATATCGGTGCGGCATTCCCTTGCTGGGGTGGAACAGTGTGCTGCTGGAGGTCGCTGGGGTGGAGAAGTCCTACCCCTGCCTGAAACGGGACACACATTTTGTGCAAAGCAGGGCCTGGGCTCCTCTTTTGCAAAGGGGGTTTAGTCTATGCTCAGTGAGCTGTGAAGCTTAATTAGGATCCTTAAAAGGACAAAAGGTGCTACATAAATTCAGGGGATTATTAGAAATGTCACCGCGCTTTGCAAGCACTGGCAAAACTCACAGAAGCAATGATGAGACCTTTCACTTCGCAGCCCTTCCGAGCAGGGCTACTTACAGCTTCACGCTTCAGCATAGCAGCCGTAAAATGTTGACATCTATAATTAGATGTGCATAGTAATCTCTTTATTCCCGAACTGAAAAGACAGGGTGTGTCTTGAAATGTCAGTTCCTTCTCCTCACTGAGGATCCCTCTTCTTGGGATTGCTCACGAAACCATCGTTTGGCAAAAAGTCTCGGGGCCTGGTTTGAAGAGGTACCAGATCTTTGCAGCTCCCCCAGGCAGCTGTGGGCTGGGCACTTGGTGAACCAAATCAAAGCCTCCGTGTGTTTTTAATCTGATTAGCTGATGATAATCCAGTGGTATCATGCAGCAAAAGCTGTCCAGCTTTATTAAGTAATCTCTTGTTTTAAGACAACCGTGCTCGAGGGAGCACTGGTTTCTGTTGTTTCTGTCGAGGACTGGCTGAAATGGAAGATTTTTTTGGGGTGGTT